AGGCAGGGAATTTTTGATATCTGTAACCCATCTGGAAGCCACTGAAGATATTGACACTGCTGGGTCTGCATAGAAGACTTCAGGAATGGCAATCGTGAGAATTTTCCCGACGAGAGGTTACGAAAGAGCTTGAGCAACCAAAGTTCGGCAAACTGCAATTTCTGTAAGCCATTGGATCGTCCTGAAACATTCTGCCTTTTCCAGTATAATGTCTTTGGACTTAGTAACCCCACAGAGGGAGGCATTCCAAGAATGCTTTGTTGGTGTGTGTGTGTCATCCACGTGGATTTTCCATGGGGCAACCTTTAAAGGGGAGAGGAGCCATAGTTCAGGGACACTTGCCTTGGATGGAGAATAGCCCAGCCTCAGTCTCTTTCATCTCCAGTCCATCAGGTAGCAAGCAGGGCTTGGAATTGCTTCCACCTGAAACCTCCAAGGGTTATTTTCAATCTGTGCAAACAGTGCTGTGCTTGAGATCAACCAGTTAGTCTAATAAACTAAGGCAGTTTTGCATGCCAAATTCCTGCTGGCATCAGCTTACAGGATTGTCCACATATTTCTACAGACTCCTTCCCCTCTGCAGTCTGCAGCAGCGTTCTGTGGTGGCCCTCAGACTGTGAGAGAACAAGCCTCAACTCTGACCCCCCAACTGCAGATTCCTACCTGTGTGTAATAATTCTCTCTTATTTAAGAAACAGTCATGCTGCCTCTGTTGTTGTTGTTTAGTCGTTTAGTTGTGTCCAACTCTTCGTGACCCCATGGACCAGAGCACGCCAGGCACTCCTGTCTTCCATTGCCTCCCACAGTTTGGTCAAACTCATGCTGGTAGCTTTGAGAACACTGTCCAACCATCTCGTCCTCTGTCGTCCCCTTCTCCTTGTGCCCTCAATCTTTCCCAACATCAGGGTCTTTTCCAGGGAGTCTTCTCTTCTCATGAGGTGGCCAAAGTATTGGAGCCTCAGCTTCACAATCTGTCCTTCCAGTGAGCACTCAGGGCTGATTTCCTTAAGAATGGAGAGGTTTGATCTGTTAACATCCAGGAAAAGAGCAGAAGGACAAGGAGAAATACTGCCAGCTGCCCCTTGAGCTGGAAGGGGCTTGATTCAATGTGATGCACTGCTCAATTGAAACACCGAACAGAAATACCCGGTGAATTCCTGTAACTTTTCAAGGAACTGCTGGTTGCAAACTCGCCACTCATTTGAGCACAGGAACGTCTCCGCACAGTCACAGGAAATCAGCTGGCAGGTGTATCAAAAAAAGCAGTTCATTGTCCATATACCCACCGCCCTGCTCCATGAGGAAAAACAACATTTAGTCCTCTTTTAACTAGTACATTGCTCCTTCCCGGGATTAAATAGGAGCCTGGCCAAACATGCTTCAGTTAGTTTCAAACCTCCCTTGTCAACAAAAATATTGTACAGACAAGTTCAGATGTAGCTGCGACTGGTGGCCAGGTGGTACTTAAATTCCAAACCAGCTCAAGATTCGAATGCCTTGCGGGGAGAGGAACATGACTGAGCAGAGATAAGGAGAGCTGCCATTAGAATAAAATAAAAAAGTGAAGTGGAAGCTATGCTTATCGAGACCCTTGGCTAGTCATTTGATTGTGATGTATTACATTTATTAGTCTAACGCATGCCAGCAATTTGGTGGTCCGTTCTTGCCTTAGACCTTCGTAGAAAATGAATGTATGAATGAATTCATGCGTGGTGCTGGAAACCATAGCTGATGTCTCCAGGACGGTTGCGAAACTGTAGCAACACAGCTCCCCCATGTGCATATGATGACAGATGTGAAGCTGTGAGGAATGCTAGATTTGAAAGGGAATCCTAGGTTCAAATATCCGCTGAGCTTTTTTAACCAGCTGTCTGCCTCTGCCCAAACTTCCTCACTGGACTGTTATTTTAAAAGAATAACAACTCCACGTTGCCCAGGGATCAAATTAGACCTGCTTGATCAAGCTGCAGTGTTCAGCTGATGGCTTATTCATATAAGAAGTGCTTGCATGACCCACTCTGCTTTTATTTTGGGGGCACCTTAGGGCAAGATGCTCTCAGTGGACCTCCCACTGATGTTCCCACCTGTTCCTTGTCACTATGGCCCATTTGCTACACCTCCCTCTGGCCCCAGCCTGCCCCACCTTCCAGAGAAAAGAGGACAAGGCAAGCAAATATTTATTTTCCTTCTTGTCATTCCTCTCCCTGATTGTTCACTTAGAAAGTGCAGGTGAACAGGTAGTTAGAGCAGCAAGAGCAGGAGGCTCCAGGAATTGGCAGTGGGCCTCCCCACTTCGCCATGGGCCTTGGCAGATGCCCAGCCGTGCCAAACTCTTGACACCAGCCTTGTGTTTAACAATTGCTCCACCTAAAGAGCCTCTTGTAACATATAGACTCACAAGACCTGTCTTGGCAAATCAGGCCAGCTCATTTCCAAAAGAGAACAGTTAAATGCATCTGGAAGCTTTTAAGGAAGGTTGTGTACATCACCCAGAGAGCCCTGGCTCCGGGGAGACTCAGAAATGCCGCAAACAAACAAAAGTCTTTCCTTACTGTGCTTCCTGAATGCCTGGTGTTCACAGGTATGCTACCTCCGTACGGGAAGGTTTAATTTAGCTGCCATGGCTAATAATAACCATTGGTAGCTCTGTTGTCCATGAATTTGTCTCATCTCCCCCCCCCCCCCCGCTTTAAAGCCATCTAGGAGCTAACCAACCAGTCAGGACCTCAAACCCTCAAGGCATTACCGTAGACCTACAAAATGGATGATTAGCAGTGGGTGTGTTGAGGCTGCACATGGTGCTCTTACAATCCCTTGGGAAAGTGTCTCCACCTGGCTGGATCTAAAAGCAGCCATTGAATCCCTTTTAGCAGAGTTTTCTATAACGTAGGTGCGAGGAGAAATATGAACAAGTGGGCCCTTCAGGAAAGTGTTAGTGTGGAATGCATTCCAGTCCAGCATTCCAGTCAGCCAGCCATGCCATTCTTCAGAATGTTCTCTTCTATTTCCCCTCCTACCGGACATTTTTATACAACCCTGCCCCCAACAGCTGCTTTGGGGTTTTCCCACCTTCTAGTTTGTTTGTTTTTGAATACCTGGCGCTCTCTCTCTCTCTCTCTCTCTCTCTCTCTCTCTCTGTGTGTGTGTGTGTGTGTGTGTGTTTCAGTAAACTTCAAGGTTCACCCAAGCCTGCTACTCTACTTCCCACTTGTATGTGGGTGGTACCATTTGGCTGCATCGAGGCATCAGCACTTGTAGCTGAACATCAGAAACCGAAAGGATGATACAGCTTGAGCCAAAGAGTTTCCAAAGAATTGTAAAGTCGGAAGGGGCATGCAATGCAGGAATCTTTCACCCGGCGTGGGGCTTGAACCCACAAGCCTGAGATTAAGAGCCTCTTAATGCCAATTTAGGGGACGCGGGTGGCGCTGTGGGTAAAAGCCTCAGCGCCTAGGACTTGCCGATCGAAAGGTCGGCGGTTCGAATCCCCGTGGTGGGGTGCGCTCCCGTTGCTCGGTCCCAGCGCCTGCCAACCTAGCAGTTCGAAAGCACCCCCGGGTGCAAGTAGATAAATAGGGACCGCTTACTAGCGGGAAGGTAAACGGCGTTTCCGTGTGCGGCTCTGGCTTGCCAGAGCAGCGATGTCACGCTGGCCACGTGACCCGGAAGTGTCTGCGGACAGCGCTGGCCCCCGGCCTCTTGAGTGAGATGGGCGCACAACCCCAGAGTCTGGCAAGACTGGCCCGTACGGGCAGGGGTACCTTTACCTTTACCTTTAATGCCAATTTGGCCCAATTTAAGACTAGGTATATAGCATTTGTGTGAGCTCTGCTCGCCGAATGGCCTTGCACGAGTCCCAGTCCATCAGCTCTAAGCCGCCTAACTATGAATGGAAATATAAATTAGCTTTGTTGCTGGATTGTTGAGGATTGATAAATTATGGACTGTGAAGCACTCTGAACACCAGAAAATAGGACTGAAATTGTTTAGACTTTGGCTACACACCTAGATCCACTTCCTTGGGAGGAAGCCTCATTGAGACTTACCAATAAATATAAGTTTGCACTTTCTGTTCCTTTTGAATAGTTCTGCTTCCTTTACTCTCTCTTCCATGTTACATTGCAGGGGGGTGGGGAGAGAAGCAGAGGCAAAAGGAGAGGCTAGTTCTTGGCCTGCTGGAAAAATACTATGAATTCCTAGCATTCTTTTCCTTTTTAACAACATGTTTACTTTTAATCACCATGTTATTTAGGATTAACACAAGTAATTGCTTCAAGCTCATTTAAGTTTGAATTTAGTGAAAGCAACTACCTCCTGCAGACTGAAGGAAACCTTTCCCCCACAAACAAAGAAATGTATTCATCTGCAAGAAGCAGCAGCAGTAGGAATCCTTAAAAGCACTAGCAACAACCTATTTAGCTGCAGAGTGAGTTGCATTTTAGAGAAATGCCATCAATAATGAAAAAATACTTTGGCTTCACGGTGTACTTAACAATCCGTATATGATCTGATTTAGAATCCTTAAGAACTGACCTGGAACAAGCACAATGCTGTGTTTAAAGATTACAAGTACAAAGATATGTATAATTTAATCGAGAAGGAGTTACTAACTTCTTTGGTAAAATGATGGCAGAACTAAAGTAAGTCTAACAATGCAATGCTATACATGTCTATTTATAAACCGCACTGAGTTCAATGGAACTTACTCCCAGGTAATATGTGTGTATAAGACTGCAGCCTCAAAAGCCAATGCTGAACATGTTTAGTTAAAAGGAAGCCCTCTAGTGCTAATCAGTTTAGTGAGACTAACTTTTCTTAGAAATTGCTTCTCATAGCCATCTAAAATTCCATAGCATCTCCTGCTTCCCTAAATCAACACACCATATTAAAAATGAAATTAGGTAAATATTTCTTTATTAAATGATTAATTTCATAAATAAATTCTCTTAATTCATTGAATATAAAATTAAATCATTTACAACTTATTCCAGTATTAGGGATTTTTTTTCCTCCAAAAAAACAAAAAAGCTACATTTTGATAAATAAAATATTCAGCTTTAAAAAGAACCGATTTCTGTTTGTGGGTATGAAATATATAGCTGGTGCCTATAGCTGCCATAGGCGAGGACTCCAAAAGTGCCCACCATAGGAAGGAATGTAACCTCGGACAAAAGTTTGGAACAAACTAAAGCATGATATTATGTTGAACAGTAAGAAAATGAAGGTTTTCATAACCAGAACAGACGGACAAAGTATAAACAGATCAGTTACAAACAGAAATCGGTCATCATGAAAGTGCTCCAAAATGAAGCAATAAGATTGCTCCAGTACTATGAAGCTTTAAGTATGCTCAAACTGTTGCATTAGTATCCAGTTGCACAGTGCATTTTTTGTGTGTCTCAGTGTTGCCCTCCAATGGACAAACGCACCACTTCCGTAAGAGTTCATTTCTCCACTGTTACTTTAAAAAAAAATAAAATTGGAGCAAGCCTTCCGCTCAAGCCTGCACAAATCACAACCTAGTCCCTAAATTTGTGGATGTCATTGAATAGCCGGTAATTAGGATAGGCCTCATTTGCATGGGGGCAGTTGTAGTTGCATCTGCAAGACTGGATCATCATGACGTTCTTAGTGAAGGTCTCTCCGTCATCGCAGCGGAAACGGATCTTGACAGTCCTGGTCTGCTGAGGCGTGCAGCATCTGCTGTCCACGCATGAGCCGCAGTACTTGGGCCGGTACTTCTTTACGCTGGAGCAACCTGCGTAAGTGAACTTGACTGGCGCTTGGGACTTCTTGGTCTTTGTGCATTTCTTCCCCTTCTGGAAGGAAGAGATCAACAGTGTAAGTTAGGTTGCAATTCCAGCCAAAAGGCTCCCTCCACCCAAAAACGACCTGGGAATTGTTGTGGAAGGACTGTAAAGAGGACTGTGTTGTTTTTACCTTTAAGGAGTCGTAGCTCGGTTGTCCGCAGGGTCTCACTTCACATATCCTGGTCTCTTTGACTAGTCTGCAGTCAGGATTATCGTTGGTGACTCGGGTGGAGACGCCCGTCCCGCAGGTCTTTGAGCACTGGGACCACGAGGTTGTCTGCACAATGCACTTCGGGTTCTCAAAGAAGTGAGTGCGTGGCTCAGATTCAAAGACTAAAAAAATAGAAAGGAGGGGGGGAGAGAAAAGAACAGTATAAATTTCTCATTCTTACCAGCTCTTTGTTTCTCTTCTCATCAACATGCATAGCAAAACACTGTAGACAGATAATCCCCCACGCTAAAGAATTTCCAGTGGTAATCCCCCCTCCCCCTCCCTGGCAGAAGAACAACATGACCCTGGTCATCTTAAAACTCACCGGGTAACATTTTCAGCCCTCCTTTCACGATGGCTATGAGCTCATTGTTCCTGGTTAGCTCTCCTTCGGAAGCATCCCGACCAAACTCTTTGTCCATGAAACCTTGCAGGTCATCCAGGTTATCTTTGGAGTCATCGCAGACCCATTCCTCGCAGCACTGGCCAGGGACTTTCACTAGCCTTGGGTTAGGGCAGCCCAAGTTAGGAAGGGAGAGTTCTTGGGGGCACAGCGGGATACAGCCAACCGCTCCATCGATGCATGTGCACTGGTGCTTGCAGTTGGGCTGGAAACTTTCTCCGTTCTGGTAGATTTTGGAGTTGTACTCACAGGGTCTCCCTTCTGATTGTGCTGCAAAGATTAGGAAAGAGGAGAGAGAGTTGTAAATGGGGGCTCAGTCTGCTGAAGCAGAGTGTGTGTTTCTCCCTCCCCTTTTTTCTTTCTGCTCTGTTAAATTCGATTTATGGTAAAGTTCCCTGCAATCCCCAAGAGCTCTAGGCTAGAACAATAAGTTAGTCAGGAATCACTTTTCCTTATGCGCTGTTAGTGCAGCCCAGACATAGTGAATTGCATTCCAGACTGTTGAAGTCATATGCCCTTTTGCCAATCTACCAACAACAAAGCATAACCATACATGGACTGAAAATTACTAAACTTCACCGCTACAAGGACTGGTTGGTAATATATATATATATATATATATATATATATATATATATATATACATACACACACACACACACACACACACACACTTCAAACGGAGCCAAAGCCACAAGCTTTTTACCTCTGCAGATCCCCTTCGGAGCTGTGGAGCTGGCGCCGAAATTGCATTCCAGTCCCTTGGTGTGATCGCAAGGCTGCGTCTTGCTGCAGTCCTCGTTGAGCTGTTTAGCACAGACTTTACAACATCCACAGCCGTCCAGGACCAGACCGACTCCCGGGGCACATCTGGGGACCTCCAGGGGGCATTGGCAAGCAGCTGGGCAAGAAGAAGAAAGCACCTGGGGAGGAGAGACGGATAAAAAGTTTGGTGAGACACAAACAGGTACAACTAAGCAAAGCAGGAAACAGTCGGCCTCCCTGCCATAAATGCAGACCAAAAACACAGGCACGTCACCTTTGATCATTGCCACTTCAGAGCTCAAGTTCCTTATATTTCTATGAACTGGCAAGAATACATTGGCTTCCCTCACAACAGGCGTGCCGGCAGCCTCTGCCTTCTCCCAACTTAAGTATATGCCTCCCCAAAGCCACACTATATCTTATTTTTTTTAAAAAAAAACCTTTCTGCCCGCAGTAGACCAGAGAAGGCAAGAATCCACAGCAAAGGAGAAAGAAACGTCCACACCTACCCTGTTTACTAACTGAAGGAGTGCAAAAGCCAGGACGAAACAGCTGGTTCTCTGAGAGTTCATCTTCGGTTCCCTTTTTTTAAGGCGAAGGATTTCTGGTCTCTTTTCTCCCTTCTTCAGCCAGAAGCAAACTTGGACAGAGAGAGAGAGGGAAAGTAGGACCTAAACAATTTCTCGGTGTTTGTCTGAGCGAAGTGGCGGTGACTTTTGTTGCTGTTTTGTTTTAAAGAGAGAGTCGCGAGTCCTGGAAAGCCTCGGGGGCTCGCCTTGCTTCTCTTGCGGGGAAGGCGGAGAGGAGGACCCGGCTGCTTTCTCTTGGCTCCCGCTGCTCGTGGCGCCGCGCACTTTCCCGGGGATCCCTTTGCCGTCTGAGGAGGCTCCGAGAGGGAGCAGCCTTATATAGTGTGCAGGCGCCGCGTGCTGCAGCTGCACTGACGTTGAGCGTTCCAGAATTCTAAAGCACCAGGAATTGTAAGGCATCTCAGGAATGTTTCCTTGGCGCGGTTTGCATCCAAGCTCCGCCCTGTCTAAGCTGCACTTTTTCCCCCTCGCTGTCTCACAAGCAAGAAAACAGGTTCTCCCTCCCCTCCCCTTCCCAACGCTTTTAAACAATCGCGGAGTTATAGATTGTAATATCGCAACACGAACCCCTCTCCTCTTTTTTTGGTGGGTGGGTGGTAGAAAATATTTTGCTTGGCTATAAAGATTTCTTCTCTTTGCCAACCCCCCCCCGAAACTTTCCCCATTTGCAGCCTAGGAAACAAGCGCGTTAGACATATTGTCCCGGTGTGTTTGCTAAATAGCTTATATGCTATTGAAGATTAATAGGGAAGGGGTTGAGGGGGAGGGGGAAGAGGCATGCAAATTTCTTAAGACATTCGGATTTGATCCAATAGTGGGATGAAAAGGTGTATCCCTTAACTAAGACCCAGATTGCGTCGTTTAAATTTTTATTTTTATTTTTTTTGAATGGGGCATGGGCAAAAGAAATTACTCCCCGTTGTTTGGACCGGTTCCAGGGAGCGGGACGGGGGTCCTCTTGTGCCCTTAAGTTTTTGGGTTATGGATTATTATTTTTACCTTCGGTTACCTTGATCTCGGAAGCTCCGTTTCCGCTATTTGAGGTCATATCAAGCAGAACGTCGTCTCCAGCAGCTCCCTCGCCCTGCAGCTATTAATTAACTTTTCTGGGTTTAATTGGCACATTTCGATGGCTCGAAAAGCAGCTAGCCAGACCTCCACGCTGCAAATGTTTCCAGCTTTTCAGGGAAAAGGTTCGGCTTTTCTTATCTCTCTCTCTACCTTTTAAGCCGATAATCTTTAAACTTGGGATGTTGCTGCAAGAATTTCGGGACGCTGAGAGTAAACACACACACACAACCTTTTTAAAGGTCCCTTTTATGATTCTTGGTCCGTCTTGAAGGGTGCTGTGATTATGTGTGTGTGTGTGTGTGTGTGTGTGTGTGTGTGTGTGTGTGAAATCTGCTTCAATAAAAGCAAAATTGAAAGTGGTTCCTATGGAACAATGAACTCTCCGTGACCTTCCCCTCTAGCGTGGAATGATAAGCAATTAGAATAAAACAGCGCCTACCCTGCACGTCCCGGCTTAGCAGTATTCAAATGATGTTTTTGTTTTTTGTTTTTTTACTATAATGTGGAGAATGTTTTGAAAGCTATACAGATGATAAACCATATATTGCAATACAACAACGGCGTTCTGTTCAAAATGCGTAAAAAATAAATAAATCCGAATGTTCCTTATTGGCGCTTTAATTACGTGAAAGGCAAACACTTTGGTGAACGTGGGCTCGCGTAATAAGTCATTTAAAAGCGATGGCGGGCCTTCAGAACACGCCTTCCTTTGCAAGCCTGTTGTTTATGGGTTTTGGGGGTTTGTTTGTTTGCTTATACAGTAGTATTTTCCTCTTCGGTTAAGTTTCTTTCCTAATGCATCTTCTCTGGTTTTAGGATTTGGTTTTTTTATTATTATTATCGTGGAGGGCACGACGACGACACAGAGGTGTTCCTAGCTTCTGTTGTGGCGTCTTTCAACCCTCCTTCATCGCCGTAAGTATTTCCAGATGGCGATTCAGACACCAGACGTAACAATATTTCCATATTTGGTCGAGCAGTAGTCCGCATTTTCCACATTTTTCTGCACTGTTACCCAACCACAAAGCATTCTTGACAGCTTCAGATGTTGTTAAATATAGACTTCACTTTTGTTCCCAGGGCAGGAAATTCTTCGGAATTCTTGGTGGGGTGTTTTTCTTCTCCTCTCTACACCCCCCCTTTTCTCCCCCCCCCCCATCCTTCACGCAATCTACCTATTATGGTTTAGGAGGAATTGCATTGTGGCTTTGCTGGCCTGTTAGTGACAAATACATAACTTAGAAGAAATATCCCTTGCTGGATATCTTATTCCCCTGGGGAGGGGAGGGGGGGGTTGTTGCTGCGCTTAACTTTTAATAAAGCAACTATCGATTCCGTCCGCGCCGTCTGATTTCCAACCACAGAAACGTGCTGCTCCCAAGCAGAGAGACCATGTAGCAGTGGGGGGCGGGGGGTTGGGGGGGAGAGAGAGGTTGTTGGAGGCGATGCGAAGGGGGGGAAAGCAATGTGATCGACCTGGCCGCCTCCCATGGCCATACGGGTTGTGTCTTATATGCGCTATCCGACGCACAGAGGGTGGCCCGTGGCGGGGAGGGGAGCGGACCCCTCGCCAGCCCCGCTGCTGCTTTGGAGCAGGGCAAACCCAGACGGCTCGTCGCCGGGTCCGCACACAGGGAGGCGTTTCAGAGGGGCTGGGAGCGTGTTTCCAGGGTAAGTTGTTGCTGCTCCTGGGTCCTAATTGGAGGGGGGGTGGGGTGGGGGTGCGAGTGTGAGTCTGAGTGAGAAGTTGGGGGCAATGTTCGAGGAATAATAAGCAGCTTTGTTAAATCCTGCAGGGAACTTCAGAAATGACAGAGTGGCTGTTGTTGTTAGGTGTTTTTTTTCCAAGGGAAAAGGGGTTGGGTGTCTCTGCAGCCAGGGAGGTAGAACCAATATAATGGAGCCCTGTGTCCTCTGGGGGGGGGGGCGGCGGCGGGTTGAAGCACCAGCTTGCAGAAGCAGTTTCCACGCACATATACGGTTTCCCTGTCTCTCCCCTTCGACTAAAGGACTACACATGTAGCACAGTTGGTACAGCATGAGGCTCTTAATCTCAAGGCCGTGGGTTCGAGCCCCACATTGCAGGGGGGTTGGACTCTCGGTGGTCCTCATCGTCCCTTCCGGCTCTTTCAAATATGGGAGTATTTTCTGACTAGCTCTAGACACCTCCCCCCCCTCAAAAAAAGGAGGAGGAATAAACACGGGGTTGGGGGAGTATAAAAGACCTGTCTTTTTGTGCATCCTTCAGGAGGGAATTCTCCATCCCTCTAACCCCACCCCGTCAGAAGACAATATGAGGTAACCATCTGTCTAAAAAGGAATTGAGTCCAGGGTTAACGACGATTGCGTTCCCCAGTGACTGTTCACCGGAAAGGGAGAAAACTTGTTTCAGTACCTTGTGGCTCCCCCCCCCCAAAAAAAATCACAAACCCACGCCTGTCGTAACCGATGGGAGGGGTGCGTGGGGGTCGGAGAGGAGCCGAGGTGTGTAGTGGCGCCGCCTCCCATTTGCTCCTCGTCGGATGTCAGGCAGAAAGTGCTGAGTGGGGCAGCCAGGGAAGCTGCCTCGTCACTGTTCGGGAGAGTGGGGTTTCCCCCCACCCCACCCCACCCCACCCCTCTCTCTTTGCCCTCTGCAGCCGGGGTGGTGGGGTCGGATCCCTTCCCTTGCTGCCTGGCCTTTGCTTTGGGAAACCGACGTAGCAGAGGTGGGGGCTAGGGGTGGATGGAGAGAGAGAGGAGATAATTGCCAAAGTGATTTCCGGCGCGAGCTAAACAAACTCCCGAGGTTTCCAACCCCGATCCATATTTGGTGAAAGTCTTGAGGAGTGTCGTCATCCGCTAGCCACCCCCCACCCCGCAGGAGGAGGAGGACGATGATGTAGCTAAAAGGGTAGGCGTAAGGCGCGTCCGGCTCTCCTTTTAGCAAGGCGAGCTCATTTGGGGTCGCTGACCCTGCAGCGTTCCAGAGATCCGGATCACTCGGGAATCTCTGGGCACGTGTCCCGAGCCTTTCCTAGAGAGGGGTTTTTCCTCCCTTCCGCGCCGTCGAAGATCCTCCCCGCGTGCGCTCTGCCTCGCTTTGCTAAGCCAACAGCAAACCGGGTTAAGGACTTGGTACCCCGGGGCCCTTCCTGCAGGGGACATAGGAACCAACTCCTAGAGGACGAGGTCCTTTTGCCTCACTCACCCCACCCAATAAAATATTCGAAGGGTGGGGCAAAGTTAATAGTAGGCTGTGTGTGTGATCAATTAATGGGGAGGATGGATTACCTGAGGCCTCCCCCCCCCAATATTTTATTCAAGTTGGCATCCTTGGCAGGGGATGCTTGGGGTGGGGGGGGGAGAGAGGGAGAGATGAGCCATGCAGGCATCTTCGGCTGGATTTGGCAGTCCTTACTGGCCAGAGGTGGGTGGCTAGGAGTGTGGTAGTTTAACTTCTTTTCTTAAGGTTAAGTTAAAAGGCATAGATTCTAAAATTGCCAGACTGGCTTCACATGCAACCAAGAGGAGGTGCATGGGAGCATCGCTATAGATAAGGTCCAAACTACAAGAAAGAAGATTCCACCTAAACATTAGGAAGAACTTCCTGACAGTAAGAGCTGTTCGACAGTGGAATTTGCTGCCAAGGAGTGTGGTGGAGTCTCCGTCTTTGGAGGTCTTTAAGCAGAGGCTTGACAACCATATGTCAGGAGTGCTCTGATGGTGTTTCCTGCTTGGCAGGTGGTTGGACTCGATGGCCCTTGTGGTCTATTCCAACTCTATGATTCTATTCTATTCTATTCTAAGGCCACTGGCCAAGCGGTGGCCAACCTGAGAGGTGCTTCTGGGGAAGCCTTGCAATATTACGGAGGGTGCTAAGGCCTGTTTCCAGGGCCGTACACAATCGCAGAGAATCCGAGAGTAGGCCCCAGTATTTTCTCTGTGGCACTTTGGTGCACCTCTCTTAGATCATTTGGTTGCCAGCACAATCTATTTGTTGGCTCTGTTCAATCCATAGAGCAGCACTTTCCAAGCCTTTTTACTGAAGTCTGGCCTGAGACTCTTACCTGCACATCCTATTCATTTGCTTAAGAACTGGGAAGCTGCGTTCCCGGAAGCTGGTGCAGTCCTACGTGTGCAGTGGCACATGGGTCCTTTCGCCCACATCTGCTAGCCTGGCGCTCTACCCTCAAGGTTTCCTTTCGATGCTCTTTTGCCACGTCTGCACAATCCATTTCCCCCGGAGTATCCTGGGAACTGTGGGTTGTTGTGGGTGCTTGGAATTGTAGCGTTGTTAACTCGTTTCATATTGTCTCCTGTGAGCATCTGTTGCAACACTGTGTCAAGGTCACTGTAACTGCAGAAATGACTGCATGGTGCACCAAGGTATAGACCCTCTAGTGCTGTGAAAATATGTCCCTAGGTCCTGATTGGCTACAGGAAATACAGGCCTTTTTGTAATAAAATATGGTATCTGGCTTTGGTTTGAAGGCCCCCAGTTGCAAAACCCACATGTGCCTGGATACAGCTTCTCGGTTCAGTAGCTAATCTTAATGATTAGTTAGTATTAGGGTGGGAGCAATCTAGTTCTGTTATTTTCTATTCTGTACCTGACTTCCCAAAATTAACTCTACACTGCTGGCCCTTTTTCAATTGCCCTTTCTTGGTCCTGGGTTTATAACCTCCTTAATGAAGCATTGCATTTTCGCTGCTGTGGCTTCTTGGCGTAAACTTGGCTCTGAATCTGGATGCTTGGCTCCAGGCGACTGGATAAAGTGTGTGGGATTGCAGCTCAAAAGACAATGAATGGGACTGTTTGGCTCCTGTTTTTGTGAATCCCAAGGATGTCAAGATAACAGCCTGAGTTGCGGAGCTACAGGTTTGATGGCCATATTACCTGGCAGGGTTGGTTTTCACCCTAGTCAATGATCATTCAAGCATCCCTTACACCAAAGGAACTCCTGGGAGCTCCAGGTCTAAGGGCACCCTTCCAGGAGAATCCTTTACATGGCAGCAGGATGGGATGAGAGCGAAAGGAAAGACAAGATAAAACTGATAAAGCTCACCTTACCAAAACTATTCCCACATATTTTCTTCCCCTAAGAGAGCTCATAATTTCTTTCCCTCTTGGTTTGCCCCCTGGCTCTATCCCAGTAAATGTGATATCAAACCCACACACTTCACACGGTCCCATTGGGAGCCTCTAAAGCAGGGGCGAATTCGTGCCATTTTACAGTCCTGAGCTGAATTTTAAGGAGTTGAATCCCGCAGCTACGTGAATGACTTTTGAATTCAGATTTCCCTGTGAGCATTTCTCAGATGCTTTTCTGTTGCAGTCTTTTCTGCAGTCTGTACCTTAGAGAATGAATCTGCTTCTCTCTAGACACACATTAGGACAGCATATATGTATATATATTTTCCTTCAAGATTGCTGATTGCCGTTATGTCATTGAGGGGGTTTGTCCCACAGAGGGAAAGAGTGTAAAAGAAGACTGGAATGATTCTGTTTGTTTCTAAATGAAAGCCATACAATTCCTCCCAGACAGGAGGCAATGTTGAACACAATCAATTGCATTCTGTTTTGATCTGAACATTTCTGCCCGAGGAAAAGCCTTGCATTCGTGTATTGTAAGCATATGCCAGGGCTTCTATAGCAGTGGTTCCTGAGGCGATTTAGCTGCAACTACAGGTGCTGCCACAGGCCATGCATGGTGAATTCAAGACCAGCGCTTCAATATTCTCCTTTATCGATGGAGCAAATACTGCTTCACTGAATTGTGAGAGGGGCAGGATCTGCAATTGTAGGAACCAATCAGTTGGAGGGGTGGCTTTTCTTCTCTTCCACATCCCGGGCCTTGTTATCCTGAGGCAGTGGGCGATCTCCATCAACGTTTCTTCTTCCTCAATCCTTCTCCCATCTATTCCTACATTTATCTCCCATGAGCCCAGTCACTTCTTGCCTCTTTGCTTCTTCTCCTCCATCCCATAGTATAGGGATGACTAACCTGTGGCCCTCCACATCCTGCCAGACCAGAGTTTGCCACCCTTGGGCCTCCAGCTGTTTTTGGACTACAACTCCCATCATCCCTAGCTAGCAGGACCAGTGGTCAGGGATGATGGGAACTGTAATCCAAAAACAGCTGGAGACACAAGTTTGGGAAACCCTGTGCTAGACTCCCATCAGCCCCAGACAGCATACCAGTGATGGGAGTTGCAATCTACTACCATTTGAAGGTCCACAGATTAACTGTACTCTTCTTGGGAACAGACTTTAAATAGATTTCAGAAGTTCAACACAGAACATCTTTGCGCCTATAGCATGAAGGTGACTTTGCTCCTCCACACAAACCCCTCTTCCCCAAATAATAATTCACAATTCTCGTCATGGAAGGAAATCCTAATGTTTGGCTTGCTAGCACCAGTTGCATGCCAGCTTTATGATGCTTTGGCTGGAGGCGGAAACCAGAATTCCAGCCGGTCTTCTTGGTCAGCCAGGGCTCATGAGGCAGTGTTGTGTGCTGTGGGTTTCTGCTGTGCTGCGCTGACTTCCTGGAGTAGCTTGCAAAGACATGACAACATCAGCAGCAAGAGCTGACCACAGCATAAACACAGCATTATGGCATGTGGACTTCAGAAACTATCAGATAAAGTTGCCCCTTCCTTGACATGCCAGGAATTGAAGCTTGAACTTCTAGTACAGGCTACAATGGGAGAGAGCAGAACTTGACCCTATTGTGCCCTACTGGGTCGTCTGAGTTTCCTGTGTTCATTTAGGGACAGTAACTCAACCAAGGAGCATCTATTGGGGTCAAGGTTTCATTTTGCATGAATGCCCTGAAAATATATATTGAGAATGGAGATGGATGGCAGACATGTCCAAAGGCTGGTGTCTAAATGTTCTCTTAGGAAAGCTTTTGCTCAATGGAAACACCTTTTGTGGTGGTGTTTAACGTTTCCAGATTCAAGTTTCTCCTTCCTATGACTTTCATTCTTCTCCTTTTCTCGACTTTGGGTTTCTTCCCTCAGCCCTACACTTTTCTGCATTTAATGTTTGCGCTTACCTTTGAATGGGCCTCTCCTGCTGCCTTTGCCAGACCACTGGTTCCTGCAGCCCTAAATCATCCCTTCAGTAGTAAATGTCTTGGTTCTGTGACTCACAAGGGAGGTGAAAAGCTGGGGAGGGGGCCAGCTAAACATGGAAATGCATAGAGAAGACAGCGGAACTGAAGTATGACCTCAGTGTTTAATGTTCAAGTGGTTTCAGGTTTTTGCTTCCTTGGTTTGCACAAAGTTAATGCAGTATTCTTCAGGAACAAATAGACAAGTCTACATTCCTTGTGCTACATCTGTATAAACAAGGCCTGCTAAGAACAGGTTCTGGGTGCTTTTTCAGTCCCTGGGAATAAAGATGTTCTTTCATTCCTGTGCCTCTCCTTTCTTCTTCTGCTGTATCTTTGCAGATCTCATGGTTCATCTTACCTACAGAGCCTTCTAGAACTTCCTGTCTCATTTGCTTATTTTTCTTCAGGGAATTAAAGAGGGTGTGTGTGGAAATCTAACAGTTACCCTGGCGTTATTCAGAATTGGGGGTTCAGGACTGAAGGTGGATGTTGAAAAATGTTTCGTTTCAAATCGAAGAGGTGCAGGGTCTTGAGCAGGAAAAGCTATGTTGCTTTTCCTAGAAGAAGCCCCATCCCTTAAAGTTGTTGTGGTTACTTAGTGGTGAGGAAAAGGTCCTTGGTACATGCTCAACAATACTCACTTTTTATTGTAACCAGTGCGGATGGTGCTGGCATTTCAAACCACTTCAGAGGCTAAGCCAAGCCCTAATCAGCCCTGAACCATATATTGGATGTGAAGAAAATATGTACTAAATTGTGCAACTTTTTTTCCAATAATGTGGAATCCAAATAAAAATAAACACAGATTTCTAAGAGCCAGAACAGACAAAACATTTTCATGTGGTGGTGAAAACATTTATGTGTGGCGGTGGAAAAAAACCCTCATGAAATCTTTATGCTGTTTTTCATCTGAACAGGAGAAGGCTATTGTGACTGACCTGTGAACTTTTAATAACCCGTAAAATGACTGGACAACGAGGGACATTGGAGGGACAATTGCAAGCTAAACAAGAAGGTGAGACTACTCAGCTTTTTGAAAGGTTATTGACTTCCTTATCACAAGTTCTGGCATGGGAATTTCTGTCTGATGTGTGTTTCTGTGTTCTGAAACTCTTCTGAAATCAGATAGAAGGAGCATAGCTGGGCGATGATGATGAGATCACTGAGCAATTACATTTGATATGAGCATTTTTTTGCTGCATAGCATGACAATCTTAATTGAAACACCTACCCTGTTCTTATACACATTTACTCATTAATGAAAGTAGCATTCTGTTCCTAGCTGCTACTAAGAATATACACACCAAGTTTCAACTTTCTTGAGTGCCTAGAAGCGTCTTAGCTATTTGGGGAGAACAGTTTTATCCCTCATTTCCAGGAAGACCCTTGCAGTTGTCTCCCTTTTGGACTTTTTGAGTAATCTGCATGTTTTGGGCAACCCGAGTGCCAAATATTCAGCGTCTTTGTTGTCAAGAAGTTCCTTAACCATTTGGGGTGAACTTTTGAGCTCCCTGTTTTGACAGAATAGTGTTTTTAGCTTTGGATTACATATATTCCAAGTTTCAGAGCTCTAGGTCCTTGGGAACTTTTCTAACAATTTGGATATCCCTGTCAGTCGGACACAAGCGTGCAAGACTCAAATCACCAGAACCAGTTGAGACGAAATCAAGAGACCAAATAAATGCAAAGGAAACACAAAACGAGTTCTGCTATAACTTCTAAATTTTAGTTACAGCCTCAGTATGATCTAGTTTCAATTTAGCTCCAATGTGCAAGTAACATGCTACCTTGGGATGTGGCTTTGTGCATTACGCAGAGGGTTTGAAAGGAAGCGGGAGCACTCTTAGTCTTCTGCACTTCAGGTTGATGTGCGGAGAAGTAACTCAGGCTTCTTCCCTGCAAAAAGATGTGTGATCTGTCTGTGGCAGATGTTCAAGTTCCCCTTTCATTAAAGACATTGGGAACATGAAAAGCAAAAGGTTGATTCATGCTTTCATCTCCCCCATACTTGCCACAGGCAAAGCTTCTATATGCAGAAAGATATGCCAGGGCTGATGATGGCTGGTGTGTGCGGAGAGATAATCTAGTGCATTTGTGAGCAGCAGCCAAGGATGTAGAGGGAAATAATGGCTGAGTCTATGCATGGTTTTAATGACGTAATTGTTTCACATGGTTATTTGCAGAAGGAAGCAGCATATGGAATATGTGGTCCTTTCCCTTTATTATTATGCATTATTTTATCTAGGGTACTTTTAGCTCCCTCTTTGTTAAAATAAACCCCGCAGCGGAAACAATATCACAGCATATGTTGAGGACTATAATCATGAACACAATAAACAACGAACCAATTCTAAAACAAAGAGCAAACAGTAAATATCGATCAAATCACAGATCAGTTCAGCGAGCTTGCAATATACGTAACTTTGTGTTATACTTTTGTTACGCCCACTAGGCTGCAGGGGCCAGGAAACAAACTGGCTGTCCTCTTTGTGGCTTGGTAGCAGTCGGTAAAGACTGCAACATGTATAGTAGCAGAGGAGGCGCTGAAGATTGGGGGGCTGGCAGAGCACATATGGTGCGTGATGTCATGCATGTGAGAGCAACTTCATGCACGTGACATCATGTGGCAGCTTCAGGAACAGCTGGGGCCTCCTTTCACATCAGGAGGAGGAGGAGCTGGCCACGGAAGCCGTGCCATGCTTGGCTCCACACTTGGCCTCCTCTCCCTCCCCCCCCGATCATTCGGGGTATTGGAGGACCTGCACCCCCCAAATATTTTTGGGAGGGGAACATAGCTGAGCCCCCATGAGGTTGTGCCCCTGTATAGCCCCTGTATGTTCCTGTAATGTGCGTTTCTGTTATGCTTTTACCTGTGACAGAAGGTGTTCTTGTGATAGTTGCCTTCGCATGATCATTGAACCCTTTTGCACCAAACTATCTCCTACAATCTCACCAAATCCCTCTGTCGTGTTTTATGCCAAAGTCAATCATGTTTGCTCGAGAATGACTCAGTGGCTTGGATCTGAGCTTGTTTTTGGTTTGTTAATGCAAGGCAACATCCCAGTTTCCACTCATTGCCTCCTCCCAGAGCCACTACCTGTGCCACATTGTTCCAGAGGGTCTCCCAGCTCCTTAGAAATGGCTCTTTAGGAGGTGCAGCGAGAAGGAGAGGATAGGAAAGTGCCAGTGTGCCATCAGATGCATTGCAAGACTACCAATTCCATGATGCAGTCTGATGTTGGAGAAAATATGCATGATTGCGAGTGATTCAAAACCATTAATACATGCAGCCATGAGCCTAAATAGTATCTTGGTCCTAAATTGCTTTGAACAAAGGTAAAATGCCAGGAGAGTGCACATTGAATTTTAATTTGACTTTCTGCAAAAAGTCACTGTTGGTGCTTGGATAATGGAAGTGAAAGCACACTTTTCTTCTCTACATTTTGCACATAACTTCCGCAAACCTGTTAACAGATTTTGCTTGCAGTCGGGATTCCAGATTCTTTCATGAATATGTGAGCTAGTCGCCAGCTCCAGTACTCCTTTTCTTGTATTTCTCCTTAAAGGTTCTTGCAATGTGCTATATCTAAATGTTTTCATCATCTCCTGAAGTTCATATAATGCTTACATTAATATTTTTTCCACTTCTATATGACCCAAAAGCGTGTTAGGCATTTAGAGAACAAAGCGAGAAAGGTGCTGTCCTTTCTCCAAGGAGCTTAGAATCTAATTTTACACATGACGGAACAACAAGGCCATGGCAAACAATAGGAGAGATGGGGTGAAAAAGAACAAAAGATCCAGCACGCTAGGTAAGCTTCAGTCATCCATTCAAAGAGCAAAATATCACCATGTAACTTAGGTGACCGCCTGCTCGCAAAATAAAAGCCACATAGCCAGAGCAAAGAATTAATGAGCACCCCTTGTGCGGAAAGAGGTCTGCGTGAATTTTAGATTTAATATTGCAATCCGAAGAATGTGCAAGTTAGTCAAAGCTGAAAGTCTGAGAATAATTCTAGCTTTAATAAAATTATCACTTGTGTCAAAGTTATTTATATAGACGTCCCCCCTTTATCCTCCCTTCGTATTCATAGAATCCACTGGATAGATTATAAAAGCAATACATAACTGTACTAAAAACAGCAACTAAAAAATAGAACAATAGGAAAAAATGCCTTAAAAGCTATGATGTCAACTATAAATTCAGGAAAATAGGGTGGTTTTGGTTAGGTGCCCAGTGAAAGGCTCCAGGTGAACTTCTCTAGGAAAGGAGTTTAAAAACTAGGTACTCTTTCTGGTAACACCTGCCTAACTTGTGACATGGGAGAACTCAGAGAAGGGCCTCAACTGCCAGTATTAATTGGTGGTCAAGTCCTTGGTCCAGTGCCATTTTATTGGGAGCGGGTGGCACTGTGGTCTAAACCACTGAGCCTCTTGGGCTTGCCAATCAGAAGGTTGGCGGCTTGAATCCATGAGATGGGGTGAGCTCTAGTTGCTCTGTCCCAGCTCCCTGCCAACCTAGCAGTTCGGAAGTACGCCAGTGCAAGTAGATACAATAGATACCACTGTAGCGGGAAGGTAAATGGCCAGCATCGTGAATTGTGCCTGAAAAGAAAGTGGGAACCAATAAAGCTCTTTCAAGATTGAGAAACACATTCATCCATATTTTGTGGGAAACCTTAACTGCGTTAAAACTGGCAGAGAACTAGTCTCCTGCTTGCACATCAGTACAGCCTGGGATGATGATCAATGGAGGTCCATGTGGAACAGAGCGGTCCAACTTTTCATGCCAAGTGGGTTGCAAGGGTACTTCAACAGGGAACTCATGGTCCACACACTGCCTTGTGGAGGCTGTGTGAGGAACAAGACCAAAAGTGAACACACACACACACACACACACACACACACCAGCCCTCATGTTGCCTTCCCAAAGCTGGCTAAGTGTGGCGCTGGGCTTTAGGAAGGAAGCACGGGGCGCTGGCAGGGTCCTGGGAACCCCTCCCCCGCTCCTTCCCAATGCTGGGAAAGTGCTTTTCCATGTACGTCTCAAGGTAATTTACAGACATTGTCTATGGGACAATGTGGCTCTTGGCTCAAAAAAGGTTAGCTACCTCATATCTGGTCCCTCATTTCCAGGAACTGGAATGCAGAAGCATACATCTCACTGAACATGGAGGTCCACATATTTGTGGAGAAATTTCCAGAGGATTGTGCTGACTTCATATCCTATGAGTTCGTTTCTGTCCCAGGCCATATAAGTTCCAGTCAGGAAGGGGGGAGGGAAACCACTGACGCAGATGTCACCTAAACCGACATAGCTTTCGTTGTCACAATGACTACAAATAGAATTTGGTCACTTAAGCAGTCGACTGAACAAACATATAGGATGATCAAACTGCTGCTGTCCTAATTCAGAAGAAAGCTCCTCTTACCTATGTGGTTTGGCTAATTTATCAGCAGGAGACAAGTGAACAGACATGATGTCACTCTTATATTCATGGAGGCATTCCAGGAAACATTGGGGTCAACATACCTGACTTACTGACGAATGATTATTTTTTAACACACACACCGACCACAAAGACCCCCATTTAAATTAGTATTTAAATTAATGCCTTCCGGTTTTATTTCAGTGAGAGTATAAACCATGTGCAGATAAACTAAATATGTAGTCCTCCTTATGTTGTCATGCTGGATGTAATGATTGCAGAGTTGCTAATCCTTGCTTAAGCTCTTTGCATGACACCTTAGCGTAGGAATACAGTGGAAACTCGTGTTACGTACCGTCCTCCTTGCGAACGCTGCGGGTTACGAGCTCCGCTAACCCGGAAGTAGATGCTCCCGGTTGCGAACTTTGCCCCGGGATGCGAGCGGAAGTCGTACGCCGGCAGCGCTGCAGCAGCGGGAGGTGCCATTAGCGAAAGCACACCTTGGGTTATGAACGGTTTCAGCTTAAGAACGGGCATCCAGAACAAATTAAGTTCGTAATCAGAGGTATTGTCCCCAGCAGCAGAG